CGTCGTGAAATGGCACGCTCTCTCAGGCAAAACAAGCTTTAATGTGGTCGAATAGTGGTATCATCCCCGAAACAATATCGGCCCAATGCTCCCCGTTATTAAATTAATACTTTTTGATGAAGCATCTAGACCCGTGACTTCAGTCACGGGCTTTCCGCTAGTTATTAATATTTTCATTTCACAAGATAGCGTATGAGTCAAAACTTCAGAACAGTAATTAGTTTACCTCTTACAATGACCTTCCGAACAAATGAATGTTTGCGCTTTTACGCCCTGCATTTTAGAAGACGAAGTTACATTTGAAGATTTACCACTTTTTACGGAAGCATTAGCCTCTGAATTAATCTCCAAAACAGGCCCTGAACTAAGATTTTTGAAAGCAGTAGAAAATTTGAAAAACACTTTTAAACCACTGGATGTGGATGTCGATTTCAGTGCAGGGAAACCTGTAGATGCAGTGGATGCGAATGTAAAAATGGAATATTTTTTTTGGGATGCAAGTAATAAGTTAAGGCGTGACAAAATGTCCGTCGCCGAAAGACTGATGAAACTTGGATACGGTGAACCTAACCAGTGCAAATTCATGCACTGATGAATGAAATAAATGTGAAAGAAACCATTGTGGCCATTACTGCCATGCTAGGGAAAAATGCCGCATGGAAAACCGAGACACTTAATTTCAATTCGAAGATGTCCTTTGTTAGTTCAGGTTCAGAAGGTTAAATCTTAACCAGATATGATCTAAGGTAGTGGTAAAGAAAGAATTTCCACAACTTTCTTCTAAAGCCAGCGTACAAGCGCAATTATAAAATAACATGTCAAATTTTAAGCGATGAAAATATTCTTAAAAACTGCCCTGACTTTCTATTTCTTTTTGTAGATTTCAATCCCACAAACGAGACAGTTTGCGGAAAAATTGGTTGTGTAAGTAATAGGGTCCTAACTGTACAGCAGAACCTTGCAGACTTAAAATTTAAGTCGAGAAGTTTTCATCAGATGGAACGGACCTAGAGTCGAACTGATGAATTCACAAAAAAAGTGGGGGGAAAATTGCACAGCGAAGTATTCAGAAATAGAATTGATGTGGTGGTTGAATGCAAAGAGAAGGCTAAAATGCCGGATTGGGGGCGACATTGGTAAAAGAAGAGAGGGATGGTAAAAAAGGGTCTTGAAGGGTTGAAAGATCTCTTTGATCTTTAAGTATATTATTCAATTTTCTTTCAACTCAAAAAATCTTATCTCTCATGCTTGATGTAAAAATGTCTGGCTTTTCAAGTTTGATTTAAAAATAATGTTGAAATTAATAAAATGGGGGATTTGAACTTTCTAATATTCCAAAATGAAACCGTGAGTGCTAATAAAACAGCAATTATTCCTACTGTATTGACTTCAATTCAAAACTGCTATTAACCAGTTTTTTAAAGTTCTTTTCTTACTTTTGTTTCAAGTTTATTTTTGTTACCTACCTATTTTGAAAAATATAATCCAAACCTATCTATACTTCTATTACGTACTCAACATTTTTTAATTTCCAATTAACTTTAATTCATTATAATTGACCAGATAGGAGAACAGGAGCTATTCATTATCAATCTAAATGACTCATCAAGTGAAGATGAATATGTTAGTGATCCTGATGAACCTAAGGAAGTATCAGACGATGAATAAGCTGGTACATCAAGTGACTTGATGGAAGGTGTTCAGTACATGTCTGCTGATGACTGACCCAAGAGTCAAATCATGTACCACCGATCGAATCAAGTATAAGTTTTGAATATAACCTTAGCCTCTTAGATGAACGTGAATGAGTGAATAATAATAACATGTAAATAACTTAGTCAAATACTCACTTAAACAATGGATTAAACACAATAAACTATTAAATAAAATGGAAAATCAGCCGTGTTTGTTTCAGTATGTTCGGTTTGCTTACATTCAACTGATAAGCAGACGTTTTTGAAAAAGACAATAAATCAGGATTCTGGTTGATTCGTTGAGCGGAGCTGCTGGCCAGAGAGTTTCGAGTACTTTTGACATATGTCTATTCTTTACTTTTCCCAGTTCTAAGAAAAATTTGTAAACAAACAATGTAAAATAGAGTAAAGAAGGGAATGCATTTGGAGAAATTAGATCTGGACACTCCCAGCCAAGGTAGAGTGACCAGCAAGATGCCAACGCCAACTGGAGCTATGGAAAATTTTTCACTGCGATCTAGCAGCATACGCAGTGACGTGGGGTTGGCAACACACAAGGTTAAGTGTCATTAAGAGGACGCAAAAGTGTAGAGATAGAGAGAAAAATGAAAGAAAGTCAAAATGGTAAAGAAAGTGTGGTCAGATGTCAAAACGCTGAAACTAAAAATGAGAGATAATGTCCTCAGACAAGACGAGGTGGTTGAGAACAAGGGGATAGTCAAGGTATTAGGAGAGGAAGAAAGGGTTGAATTAAATCAAATGGGGGTACACATTGGCACTACAGAGATCAAAGTGCAACAACTGGGAGTAAAAGCTGGTACAACCAAAGTTCCTTTGTCAAAGTTCGCAACTTCGCATACTTCCGGTTATTCTTTATATTTTAGGTGAAGAACCATTCAACGTCCGTTCTTAGAAACTTCTGTGACTATCTTCTCTATGCAAGGCAAGTTCTAAGAAAACTTCAAGGTGTGATATTGATTTTTTTCTTTGAAGGATAAACCAGGAGCAAAGATTTTTAGAACAGGGGAAAAAAAAGGATAGACAAACGTATCATCAGAGGATGGCACCATTCAATATAAATTTACGTGGTAACCAATGGGCCCACTGATGATTAATGCACCCAGATTGATGTGACTTTTGTTTATTCTTTTCTTTCCCATGTTCTAGATGCTGCATACGAGATAAATAGTTTAATAGTATCACCATCGATATAGCAACCTCAAAAACGACACTTCGGCTCAACTGTTGCACATTGTTACTGTTACATTGTGATTCGATTAAGAAGCATTGAAGTGCATGGATTGATTCATGAATGATCTAGCACTTCATTCTGTCTCTCTCTTGTTCAGTCTAGAACAACCGCCGGTTTTGAACGAAAGGATCATTTTATTTTCCCTTCCCTTGGTCTCTCTGAGCCCATAGCTTCACCTATCGATTGCAAATATCTACCTGCTTGCGGGACAGAAAGCGAAATTGAGAGTAAGATAGGATGCAATGTTGAGGTATAATAAAGGAGTAGTTCAAGGGTGGAATTGAAATCAGTAGCGAGTGAAGTATCACAAACCTTGACTCCAGATTCAGGAAAACCAAGCCAGAGAACGAAACGAAGTTGAGGTGATGAAGTCTTCTCACAGGCACAGGACGGGAGCAAGGCGATTCCTCCATTCTTGGGACTGGTCATGCACGGTTTACATGTGTATCGACACATTCTTACACTAGAATTGACTGCAAAAAAACGGGCACGGACGGTATGAGAAATGTTTTTTTCAGTGCCATTACGAGCTATACGAGCACCACGAGGCACGCACGCCGCACGAGGCAAAAGACCAGAACCAGAAGAGAAGACTACAGAAACAGAGGACGCAGATGCACGATCTACTATGAAAATGGCGGTTTCCATTTCGCCGGTTGCCGGTTCGCGCGGAATAGAGTATGTGTAGTGTGGGTGGGGGTGGATTTGTTGGTGGAAGTGTGTACAACAGGTTGTAACTGCCGAGTGCCGAGTCATCATCTATTCATCTAATATTCATTTACGACCAGAGTGGCATGAAACGTAAGAAAGAAATGAAAGATTAGAAATTTCAGTGAAATAACACATGAAATTTCACGATGCTGTGAATTATTTCATATTTTTCAGGGGCTAGAGCATGCAACCCGCACTCAAACATTCAAAAATAGGAGAAAATCCCAATTTTCACACTGTGCGAAACATGATAAAGAACCGGTACCTATATTTCAATATCTTCCTCTGAATAAATTTGTGAAATTTCATGAAATATTTCACGGAAAATTTCAAGATTTTATTTTTCAACTTTGCCACCATGTCTACGACTCGCAATATAGGTATGTTTCTGGGAGATTATAGGATCGATGGTTAAGTACTTGCGTATGTAATAAGTGCACTGCTCAATAGTTTTGGATAGAATCAGTGCCGGATTTATGATTTTTTTCTCTGTTGCGTGAGGTTTGAGAAACACCCATAGGACACCCTTAAGACAAAGAGGGTTCTCGGGGAAGGTCCACGAAAAAAGTCTAAAATTTAGAGTTTCTTAGATGACAAATTTTGTAGATCCATTGCTTTCCGTACCTCTGTTTACTGAAAATGAAGTAAAAATTTGAGGGAAAAATACATTGTGGCTCTTAGGTATATTCGGCCATTAAAATTTAATGGTCGCGATTGATCAACTTCGAAACAATTACTTACTTATCACACCTATGTGTTTGAATACTTATTAACCGTCGCATTTACCATTTATGACTGAACCAAATACCTGGTTCATTAGATTAAGTTTATCCACGACAACGAATAAAAACAAAAATAAAAAATACCCACTTAAACTTAAAAATTCGGAACATACCTGAAGCAGATATATTTTCCAAACTGTGAATTTGCTGGTTTCAGCCCTGAAATCCAGATTAACATGAAAGATTAAATGTCTATAAACTTAGAACGAAACTTTTAGAAAGACGTAAGATACCATAAGAAAGCAGCAAAGAGCAGTTCATTTCGAAATGATAACTTGAGGATTATTGATTTGATTGTTCCTATCTACGAAGCACAAAAAGTTCCTTCAAAAATGACACCGGCAACAAAGCTTACATTGGCGCCAGCAGGATAACTAAGGCGTTGTGCAGACCATGCGCTTTAGCACGCTGTAAGTAATCCTAATTCAATCAGATGCACGAATAGAATGCAAATACAACTTGCCGAGTTTCAGTCACATGAAAAGCATGTACTGACAAGAAATGCTTCTTTGCTAATGTAAGTTATCAAGTTGGTTCAGACCAAAGTTATTAGAACTAACGCCGATCGTGGGGCAAGAAGAAAAAGTGACTCCTCTATGCATTTAGATATTCTGTGCGGACGAGGTTTCATTTGCAACAGTTCCTGTTGCCACTAGACCACCTCTCAAATTCCGGCCAACCTCTGAAAATCACCAGTTCGAAAGCCATTTATCAACACGTGAGTAAAGTTTATTAATTCTTAAAATCTATTTTTTTCTCAAGTCTATTACATAGTTTTTAAAATTTTAGACTAATTTAAATTACTATCGATACGTGAAAACCTCTAGGCGGCAGCAATCGGTAATTTTGCGTCCGTTTTCCGAACTCGTGTCAACCGGTAGGCAACACGAAAGCGCAGATACGAAGTGAAAATAACAATGGATTATCATTCCCGCCACGTTCTTATATTCTTGTAGTTGTTCAGCTCTCAATTTTTAGTATTCTCTCATCTTTATGACCGAGTTTTAAGTCCCAAAGCCCTGGCTTTACGGAATTCTGAACTTGAATTTGTGCCCCACTTAAAGCCTACTATACTATGCCCAGCCTACAATGGCCCATGCCTTTTCCCTCTGTTCAACAGTTTTGACTTCTCTGATTGCTTATCTAAAATCTAGCGGTTTTTATTTTTTCCGCAGATTCTTTTGTAAGATTTAATTCTTCCTACACTCCACCATGGCTGATGTTGAAGCACATTTTGAAACTGGTGATTCCGGTGCTTCTACCACTTACCCTATGCAATGTTCTGCTCTGCGGAAGAACGGTTTTGTAATGCTCAAGGTAAGAGTTTCCTCTCATTTAGCTTTATTCCCCGGTGATTCACAGCGATTTTTGACGCCCCCACTATGAATGAAAGCATAGGAGTATACCCAATCAGTGCATATGTTTTCAAGCAGGTGTTCACTTCCTCGTACCTAATGCGTTGCATGTGCTGCCTTTACCACATTCCAACCTCATTCGTATTAACTTGGAATTTCTGCTATTTTTATGGGCACAGTGTAGACTGGTCAATGACATCTTATACTTATCTGCGCTATTTTCGCTATCCTGGAAGTTCGAACCGAGGCCTCTCGTGAAGTGTGCCACATGCAAGGATGTCGATACATACCTCAGTTGAATTTGTCACCGAATTCTATATGCGCAAGTCACTTGTCTACCTTATTTCTCCCGATAATTGCTCAGTCATAGGTGTAAGAAGTTTTCTGCACTATAGTGTCAATCATCCTACTTGCATCTCTCTTCCCTGTTTTTAATTAATAAATTGTGATAATTGTTGTGGGCACGATTCACGTGAAAATAATGTTTTATTTACCTTTGGAGCACATCAAGCCCACTATCGAGTTGCTAATAGAATTTTGATGGGTGTGCCGGTATATCATTGGACTTGGCTGAAGTTGACGGGTGTCACCATTACTTTATATTGCATCAGGTCTTATTCCAGTTTGATCATCAGATTGATGACAAAGTTCTGATTACAAAAGATCCCAATCCACATAGTCTATAATGTTCTAGTTTTTACCCTGCCCTATGTGTTGATTTCTGGTCATTCAGAACTGTTCATAGTGCAAGTCAACTCCTTGAGTCTGCTTCTTAAATTCAGTACGGAAACATCGTAATTAGCCTTGGGGTGACTTAGCGCTCACCATATTTCCCATAAAATTATCTAGCTCCATGGAGAATAGTGCCTGTGCTAAGAAGGTTGACCTGTGCGGTAGTTATTTGCATGGGTATAAAATTTTTGTCAGGGGCGGCTTATCTTTCAGCTACAATTATTTAAAATGAAGACAAAGTGCCCAGAGATAATTTGTTTGAGTTTCCTACGTATTCTAAAAAAGTTAGAATAACTGTATCTATTGTTGATCATTTCAGGCAGAAGTAAGTTTCTGGCCAATCTTAAATAACTGCCCCTCTTCAGCCTATCGTGTGCATTTAGATGGCACCATCGGTGGGTGGCAACTTATAAAAGACTTGATGCCTCAAGCACTTGATGAGTGAGATCTAGCTGTTAGCAACATTTTGAAGAAGCAGGTCATCATGGATGTCAAACAGAATAGGCATTTCTTTTTGAAAGGAGCCAATGCTCCATCAATATGTAATAAAACTGTGTCTGTCCTAAAGGATTATTGACTCATGCACAATCCTCAGGAAATCAGAAAGTCTTTAGTTGATTTATAGTCCATATTATGACTTAAATTGTTAAGCAAGAGAAGGGTTTATGAAGCGATATTTTGATCTGAACACACAGTGGTACCAATCGCAAGTGTGTCCAGTTTCCACCTCAGTGTTATATAAATATACAATTTCTGAAAGGATCATTCAGAAAATATTTTGCAGTATGAAACCAATATTTCTGATTCATTTCAGAAGCATCTTGTATATGCTATTACTTTCACTATCCAGATTGATTTCAAGTGCCTGCAAGTGCATCGATTTTTCGCCAATATCCGTGGAATTTGCCTCGAGATATGTAGTTAGTGTTCCTGAAAAATTTCCATGATTTCTTGAATTTTTGCTTCATCATGAAATTTGTAAACTAAGTATGCCAGAATGGTATTTCCCGTATCCATTGCCAAAGTGCAAAACCATTAATCGCAATGTTGCAGACTACCACACTTTTTTTTCTCTCTTTCTTTGGAAAACTAGCCAACGTCATTCCTTGAAAACCTCCACGATTTTTCCTGTGGGTTCATAAATTATTCTGTAAAAATTTACGAAGCTTTGAAGTTGTATTGTTTCTAAAAAAATAAAAAGGGAGCGGTAATTCTGAAACACGACAATGAAGATACTTGGTTTCTCACTTTGGCCATCAACATTCATCATTTTAACTTCTCTCTACATTTTATGTGCTGATTTTTAGGGAACCCACTAGTTTATGGCTCAGTCAGAAAGACTGTACTGAGTGCAGTAATGTATCCGCATATCTGCTTCATTCTTATTACTATAACCGATCATTAAGCTCAATTTTTGGTAGGAAGAGCTTGGAAAAATTTTTCAGTTAAAAGAACCAAAGCTTGAACATTTTGAGTGACGTTTTTTTTTTTTTTTTTTCTTCTTTGTTGGAAAAATTGAGTCAATAATAATTGCGGATAGAACTAATTTTAAGTGTTGCATATAACGTACGAAATGTTGAAATATGAAGCAGCAATGCAATAAGACAAATCTAGCATTATTTGCTAAAACTTGTTTCATTGTACGAGACACTGTGATCGTAATTTTTCAACTCTGAACTTCAATGAATCACCAGGAAAGGTGTGAATTCAAGCACTAAGCAAAATATTTTCTCTTCAAAATCTTACAAGGAAAACTGAATATGCTGCGCGACGTCTAGAAATCATCTCCCTAACAAGATATCACGAGTGAAACTACTAGATCATGAACCTTGGTTTGCTGTGTGTGAGACCATGTATCTCTGTGACATCGCAGACTTCCTGTCATATTTTTTTTTTTAATAGAAAACTACTTAGCGTCAGTTCTTGAAGACCTCTATGATTTTTCATCTCTGTGAAAACTTCATGGAATTATCTTGATTTGTTTTTTTAAAAAATTAAATGGAAACAGATTTTTAACCTCTGCAAAGGAGACACATGGTTTGGTAGTTTCACCTTTGATATAAGTATTAACAATCAATGTTGGTTTATTGGCGAAAATTCGAATGACATTTGTACAATCTAAGTTCTATCGGTGTGACCAAACTTGACCTTGTAAGTCAAATTGCCTCTGTATCGTCAATTTTTCCAATTCTCCGATGTTCTCATCAATTTTGAGAAAAAATTTCTCCATGTCAGAATCTAAAACACCACATCTTGGTACATCAACCATATCTATGGTGTTATGTCATAAGTCACAGAAGTTCATGTCATTTTTCAATGCATTTCTAAATCTCTAATTGATGATGTGATTTCTCTCAGGCTCGTCCATGTAAAATCGTGGACATGTCAACCTCTAAAACTGGTAAACACGGTCACGCCAAAGTGCATTTGGTTGGTCTTGATATTTTCTCTGGAAAGAAGTATGAAGATATCTGTCCATCCACTCACAACATGGACGTTCCATTTGTAAAGCGTGAAGATTATCAGGTAAGTCAAGAACAACTTTCATCGAATAAAAGCTCAAAGAAATGTTTTAAAGTAATAGTCAGTGTGAGTTAAATGAGTTATAAACGAAAGAGAAAGCTTTTTGGTGTTGTTATTTGCCTCATCTAATATCGCTACTACTTGAGTTTGCCCATAAGAAGGGGGGGAGGGTAATCCAATCAGTGATAATTTACATAAGAGATGTCCATGTTGATAAAATGGAAAAATCAAGAGAACCTCCAAGAACTCTCTAATGGTTTTACTTCTTTTAAGTCATGCATTGTTTAACAGATGGTTTGATTTACTAGGTTCCCATTTCCCTTGTTTAATATTAAACATCATATCATGGTACCAAAATTAAGTGTAAAGGCCCATCACTTTGTGGACACATACATTCTTTTGAAAATCCTCTTTGATAGGCCTAGTCATTTTGTTACCATATTAATCCAATGGATCAGTGTCAATTTTTTTTTTTTTTGGGGGGGGGGGCGTGGTTGATGTAAAGTTTTGCCTGCATAAAATTTCAAGAATAGAACATAAAGCTCAGTAAAATTTTCATTATATCATTTGTTCGGGGGAAAGAGCTAATGATTATCTTACCAATTAAAGGATGACCGTCGAGTTGACGTCGCAAGGCATTGCCAAATACGCATTTAGCCAATCAGCAAACGCTGTTTCCCCTGCCTGGCTACATCATCAATGCCTGCTATGAATATCCTTCCAATCTGGTCCAATTTTTGACATTTTCAAAATAGGATCTCTTTGGAAACAGGATTCATTTAGAGTTTAATAAAATCTGAAGAAAGTGGGTGCCCCTGACCTATTTCCAACTTTCTACTTTACTTCCCCTATATTTCTTGTCTCTGATGGATTATGTTATGCTCCAGTTAACAGATATCTCCGATGATGGCTATCTGTGTTTGATGTCAGACAATGGAGATCTTCGTGAAGACTTAAAAATGCCAGAAGGAGAATTAGGTGTTCAACTCAAAGCAGACTTCGATAGCGGAAAGGAGTTATTGGTAAGTATATTCAAATTGCAAGAGAGGTAAATCTGTAACAAAGCAGCTTATGTGGCCTTTAAAAGAACTTTATTTTGTAAGAAAAATTTCAAGACTTGCAAAGAATTTGAATATTACCCGTTACTGAGGGGTCAGATGTAAATGTTTGTTGTTAAGAAATGAATAAGCTTTTATTGACTTTCAATAGAATTTAAAAAACACAGTCAACAGGGAATCAAATGAAATCAAAATCTACCTTTAGAAAGAATCAAGAATAGTTGGCTCAGACTCCAAGGTCCTCTCAATGACAGGCAGCGGTGCTGAATTTTTGCAATTCATAACTTTGACATGGTTGGCACCGGTCTAGAAACTCGGCAAAGTAAGGAAGTAGCGATGACAAGGAAAAGTCAGGAAGTTTCTATTGTATCTATGAATCACTAAAACGTATCACTGATCTTCTGATCAGCTTGAAACTCCGATGGAAAATATTTCGAATTTTTTGCCCTTGCTTTCCCCGCAAAATAGTGTTGACCCACCTTGTCCATTATGATTCTGTCAATTGAAGAAATTTTCTTTCATTTTGAGATACCTCATGGAAAAATCGTTTCCTTTGTCCACTTCTCTATTTGTAGCCCAAAACCTCTTTATTCCCTTGCCTTTTACATACCAATCTTGCAAGTTTTATTCTATAACCTTCCAAATAGTTCATATTGGTCTTAAGCTTCGTTTTTTACTCTGTTTCAGTGTACAGTTTTGAAAGCTTGTGGTGAGGAGTGTGTAATTGCGATCAAGACAAATACTGCCCTCGACAAATAATCACTGTTTCTATGGTGAGAGGGGATTTTTTTATTTGAAAAAATTTTAAAAGATAAAAAAAAAAAATTAAAAATTTGCAAAATGAAAGTAAAATGAATACCAGTTGCGGTAAAACTACTCTTTCCCCCATATTTGAACCTATACAGGTATCTCTCAGTGACAATATCATCCTTGAGAGCTGTGAAATCTTATCGACTATTTACCGTGCTGATTAGTAGTGCTCTAACTTGTCATTAAAAATGTCAAAGCCATTTTTTAATGTATATAATTTGTTTCTATTTTACGGAGAGCCAGTAGAGTAGAAAAAGATGTACAAGGAGTCTGATTTTTGTTTTTGTTCGCATAAATCTAGAATGATGGAGACGGTGACATATTTTTAATGGATCAGGTTATTGAAAGCAAGTCGATGTTTAAATTAATGACAGCATAATCGGATATTAATGTATTTTATTTTTTTATGAGCTCTTTTTCTGTTCTTCATTTACTTATTTATTTTATTTTATTTATTTATTTTTTTTTTATTCCTTTCAATTCTTTTTTGTACGAAGTAACTGTGTTGTTTTACTTTTTAATGTAACCTTTTTTAGGTGTCGAATGTCTAATATTCTAATACCTGTTTTCTTGTTTCTTTTTTATATCTACTGAACGGTAACCAAACAACTTCCTGTTCACAATTATACTATTCAAAATAACTTGACTTCTTAATTTTTATTTCCAAGCTTCAAGTATCATGCTAAGTAATTTTATCTTAATAAATCTTCATTTATAAACTTTATATAAATAAACTGTATCCATTTTCTGTTAATCTTCTTCAAAAATTTTGTATACTTAAGTTCAGTAAAGTACCCTGGTCAGTTAATTTGATAGTTCTTCTAGAGAAGTGTTGCGTTGAAAAATTTTAATTTTACGCATCAACCCATTGTTTGTCTTCCTATTTTTACAAGAAAGGTGACTTCTGACTTCTTGCCTCTTAGTCTAAGATAAAGCCATTAGATAATGAAGCTCTCTTCATCTGCGCCAGGAAAGTTAGTTTATAAATCTGCAAATTCTTGTCGGAAAATTTTCAAATTTTTTTATACAAAAGAGGTTTGCGACAACCAAACAATTTTACACCTTTTCAAATCTTTTTGTGAAATTCATACTAATTGACGGTTTTTCTCCTTTTTGTTTATAACTTTCTTGATCTCTAATGCTATAAAGTGCTGTCTGTTAGTCAACTTGCATAAAATTAACAAGTTTTTATGTAAGTTTAGCAGATGGTATCTAATAAAAAATTAAAAGCAATAATCTCCTTATCTACACAGTAAGATTATTGAATGAAATGAATCGCATCAATCCTAGTGTGAAAAGAGGATGCGACTGATACATGAGCCGCATCAGTTTTCGTTAAATCTGCATCGGCTCAAAGTCTTTTTGAAGTAATGAATAAAAAATTATGTTGTGAATCCATTTATGAGTAGATGAAAAATTCATAGCATTAACGAGAAGTGTTGGCGAGGTCATGAAAATGCAGGAATATTGTTTTTTTACGACCTGCAATATCTATTTCTTAATTTCTCTATTTTTAGATCTGATATCTGTTTAGAGTTTCAATATTTGGTGGTTTGATTTAATAATTATGATCCCATCCCATGAATTACACTTGAAATATGAAAGAGTCTACAATCTTTTTGTCAACTAACTTTTCCCACAGAATGATTCAAGTGGGTATCGGACGAAACCAAACCTATTAAAAATGTAACATAAAAAGTTAAGAATATTAAACAACATTTAAAATTGATATGCATTCAATTTTAGAATGAAGGAAATAAAACTTTTTCTGTATTCTTGTTGTTTAATTCTTAATGATCTCGCAACATTCAATCCTATTATTTTTTCACTGTTCAATGTACTTCTCTACCCCCTGCCTAGAGACTTAATACATATGAGTAAATTATTTCATTATGCACGCACATTTAATAGAGGAGCCTCACTAGAAAGCTCTTTTGATGTCTGCCTTCATCTCACAAAAGTTATGTGTGTTAATTGCGAGCCAATCCTTATCAATTTTAACAAGAAATAGCTTGCTCATAGGAATTTTTTCTGCTGTACCTCTGACTTCGTTTCTGAGTTACTCTACTTCAAAATATGATTATAACAAAACTCCTGATATTTGTGGGCACCTACTCCATGTACGTCCAGTCTTTAGGAAGTAACTCATGTCTCATATTTTGTTATTTATTGAAATGCTGGCGATTTATGGAACCAGAAACTCTTGACTCCTCAGATTTTAGTACTTATCTACACATGTTTGACTACGGTTGGTTATCATTGGCATAAGCCAAAAAACAGTGTAGGTAGTGGATTGAAATGACATCGCATGCTCACCTGGAGGAAACAGTGCGAGCTTTTTCCATCCTCTCTCCCAGCTTGTTGCCATTCTTTTTCCTCCTTACTTGGGAGCCTTCATCGGCATTTCGTTGAAAATTAAAAGGAAGAGCCATGTCTCCTGATAAATGCCCTCGACAATCATATGTGGACCAAGCACAGGTTTTTGCCTTCGAATGTTTCATGGTGCCCAATTAGCTATTTCTTGTGAAGTTTTAGATTTTCTCTTCTCTAAATGAAGTAGAAGTAACTCCAAGGCATAGTAGGCAAGGACAGTTATATTTCATTCATCTTCAATCTTATGGACATTTTTCCTTAACTTTATCCGAAACCTATGATCACAGAGTGTAGATCTCAGGTGTATCTTTAAACCCTCGCTGCTTATTCGATAAAGTTTCTGCGGATCTCTACATTCTGAATGCAGGGTGCAGTGGTGTTGGTTGGCATGAAACGAAAGTTTGGAAATTACACAAAAATTTTACAAGGAACTGAAATTTTTGATAAATATGAAAAATTCATTTTAAGAGTGGGTGTGCATCTCAAAATTCTCTTTTCTCATTTATGGGTTAAGAGTGTTAAAAATTAGTAGAATGATGCCTTTAAACAGTTCCGGTAGCGTTTTCATAATCATGATAGCTATTATTCTACCCTTGAAAAAATATTTCATGATTTTAAATTTGTTGAAGTTTTGCCGCCCTAGCAGACATCCAGGAATCTGCATCGTGACGTAGATGTTTACACCCACCCATCGACCAATAAGAATGAAGCTGTAGCAAATTGAAGACACTGCTTCACGCATTACACAGGTATGGAAAAGTTGAAAATTTCCCATGAGCCTCAGTACGTGTCACATGACCTCGTGACGTAGGTTAAGGGGCCCGTTTTTTAATTAAATTACAATCAAATTAACATTCAAACGTTTGTGCGTTTAAACGCTAAAATTAATATCGTATAACCAAAATTGTGCAAAAAATCCCACAAAATTTTGACAAACGATAAACCGAACATAATAAATCAAAATAATCAAAACATCCAAAATGGCTGACGTTAAGGGGCCGCTGGAGAGCCAATCAGAGGCCAGTTGTTTAGTTCTGTCCATACCTGTGTAAATCTACCTTGCCTTACATGGCCCAACTTTGCCAAGACTACCGTTTGCATTGTGGCTACTAATGACGTAAAAATATACATTCCTTCTATCATGTGTGCTTTCCTTCCCTGTCAACAACCAAAAAACTATATCGTGATTCGTGATTGATATTTGCTATCAGTCAAGGTAGATTGGCTCAGATTGGCTAAAGTGTATCCCGTCCCGTCCCGTCATCTAACTCATGATCTACCATAACTCTTCACAGTTCACCGCGCACATGCCAGGATTTGCAGATTAACATTGACCGGAGCCAGTTATTGACAGAAGACGCTTCCTTCCAATTCGGTGAGAATGCCAAATTATTTATTAAGTAAACAGTCACCCTTCTCTCTCAGCCGCTACTGACACAGAGGCTCATAAATTCCTTGTATTTCCGCTCTCAATTTACAAAATAAGCTTGAGTTGTTTGTCCCCAAAAATCCACATGAGGCTACTATCAGTACTTAGCGTTAAACTATATCAAATTCAAAACTACCAGACCATGCATCTTGGCGGCCAATGTTGCAGACTTTCTGTCGCACTTCATTTTTTTTTATGAAAAGCTACTCAACGTCAATTCTTGAGAACTTCAATGGTTTTCTTCTCCACGCAAAGAAAACTTCAGAGAATGATACTGATTTGTTCTCCTCTACAATAAATAAATGTGGAGCGGAGATCTTTAAACCCCTGAGAATGTATAGAGGAGTTAATCATTAAATCTCAAGAAACATGTGCAGTCCCTGATTCTTCCAAAAGCTGCTAAGTTGTCAAATGCCTCATGGTTCACAGTTTTGGTGAACATGAAGGTAGGAATGCACTGTTCAAGGATTGACAGAAGCTGTGTGATAGTGCCCAAAGCAAATTTTTGTTTGTAAACTGTCAACAAAATCCGTGAACAGTTTTCTTGCGCTTTAATGGAGTTTGTATTTTCATCGACTAATCAGAGCTGCGAGGCCTGTTTACTGGACTGTTGATGAGTTTCACTCTCTCAACCAGAATTGTCAACTGGTTAGACAGCGTGGTCCGAAGGACGTCTACGAAACCATAAACTGTTGACGAGAATTAAATTACCTTTAACTACGGGCAATTTGGCAGGAAAAGCTGGATCACGCCCATCTCATCACAACAGGAGAACGAAATTTTGTTTTGAAGACGTATTGTGTAAAATGCTCATGGATTTCTCCAACAGTTAACAAATGAAAATTTGCTCATAGAGACTTCGCTGTTTTCTAAGATTCGATTATTCAAAATTTTTACGTGAGCGCCTTTATCTCTGTAAGAGTTAGTATTCTTTAGCAGAAAAGGACAAAAGTGTTCCCTTGAGTTGGCAATTGGAAGTGTCTGTTCATGGAACCTTAATGCTCATAAACCAAATGTCCTAAGCTCTGCGGTACTCTGTATTACTCCTCTCAAATTTGGCAATAGAGCACTGAAATTGAACAGCAGAGGGAACTCATACTCCAAAATAAGTCTCATCTTAGGTTTACTAGAATGTCAGCCAGCTTTGCTAACGAATGAATGAGAGTGATTTTTTTACAATTTTTAAGTATATTGATGTTGTAAGTCCGCAATCTCATCTCTCATTTGTGGTGTCTATAAATCTCCGCGTATTTGTTATTTTTTTAAAAAAGTACAAATTGACACCACTCCTTGAAGTTTATGCAGAATTTTCTTCGTGCAGAGAGGAAAAAACACGGCAGTTTTTAAGAATTGCTGTTGAGTAGTTTTCCGTTTAAAAAAAAAGTATGACAGGAAGTCTGCGACATCTCGAACAGAGTTATGTGATTGCCGACTTACACCGTTGATATGCTCATGGTGCTCTCTCTCTCCTTCCTCTCTAACATTTGTAAGTAGCTCCGCGAGCCGATTATTGAAAATGTTAGCACGATTAAGACACGACATAGCCGTATCTTTACCATGCAATATATCGCAATTTGATGTCTTATCAAGCTGCTTTAAACTTTCAATAATTGGCAGGCTGGGTGCTCTACAAATGAAGAAATAAGTAACCTCTGTTTGCCATAAGTTTCATACCATCAAATTTTCCTCTGTCTAGGCTAATGGACAGTTTGCCCACTAGATTGCTTGCACATCATAACTTGAAAGTTTTGTGATTTGCTAATTTTTTATGCCTATGCTTGGAAACATCCAGTCTATTCTACATGGACACTAACTGCTTGGCTTTTGTTTTCAGTATCTCAAAATTATTCAAAACAGATCCTAATGTCCTCTGCTGGTGTGTCTGGACTCCAACTGCATTTAAGTATGGGTTTTTAAAGGAAAAAGGAAGAATAGAAACCCTGATGATGTCTTCTTAAACTGACAATGGGTCATCAAAGTAGAAGCAGGGCAAGTATTTTTTGTTGAAAAGTGACTTGAGACTTTTTTCAAGATAATTTTTCTTATACTCCAAACTGGTTGCAGTATTGTTTAGGTTTTTGACTAAGGCCTAATAATGAGGACATACCTAGTCGTCAAAGCTTTTCGGAGGGCTCGGTTCCACCACCAGGACATCAAATGCCTCTTAAGGTGATACTACGCGATCTAAGTAGGGACGAGATTTGCCACTATACACTGCGCTGCTATGCGGTTTGTGTCTTTCAGAAGCAATAATTATCGTTGCATATAAGTTAACGCAACAGACTGATCTGTTATGTTTAGCAGCATTAATACTGAGTAGAATAACATCAAATTTGTTAAGATTCATCGTAAATTTATACCTGAAACTACGGTAATGGATTTCGTCCATTGACTCAATGCGTAAGAGAGAGATAGCAATATAATGACTCTCTCACATATTGAGGCAATGGACGAAATCCATTACCGTAGTTTCAGGTATAAATTTACAATAAATCTTAACAAATTTGATGTCATTCTACTCAGTATCAATGCTGGTACCCATTATGGATCAGTTTCTCGCGTTAACTTATATGCAACGATAATTATTGCTTCTCAAAGACACAAACCGCATAGCAGCGCAGCGTAGTGGTGAATTTCGTCTCTAGATCACATAGAATCACCTTAAGTAAACTAAACTATGAAATATAATCATATTAGTGAAACGTGCAGCTGGTACTGGTTTGTAATCTGAGTGGTCATGTCATGTCAGTTGTCTCTAGAATTGTTTGCTAGGTTGCAGCTCTTATGAATTAATATGTCAAAGGAGGTAATGGGTAATGGCTAGATATCATTAATTCAATCAACCTCTTAAGATACAATTATACAAGTATGAAACTGAAGCTGAGACATTCAATTACAAAAGTAAAGGCATGACAGAACCAGGACTCAAACGGAGTCATCACTCATGTGCAAGTCGAAACAATGTATGCATTTATATTTGTCAAATGTCCAGGACGAAATCTTAATTTGAAGCAACATTTTTTTTTCTCTCCTCTGTCTCTTCTAGATCATGGAAGATGATATCATTCTTAAACTACAAGCAGTTGTTGATGAGTGTGATGCTGCTTTTCGAAAAATTGAATCCCTAAAACAGCAGGTACGTGTTTTGCTAGGCTTATGTCATACAGCTTTTTCTGTACTCAATTTTTTTTTAATTCTCATAAGTAAATTTGACAAGCTTTTTAGGGTGGGGGAAGACTGCCACTGCATGCGAATGGGAAATTTTTGAACTCAAATTTTGTACATGCAATCATCTTAATACCTATACAGAGATTGGCACATTAAAATATTATACAAAGAGTTTATATGTAGATATGTGTGCTACGCTACGTACCCCAGGAATTCTTACGTATGAAACTTTCCATCATCTCAAAGGGCAAACCTTCCACTAAAATCTCATGATGAATTGAAAGAAAACCATCCATCACTCCCTTCTCAGCCATGATCTCTCAAATTTGCACATGGATTTTTTATTTAATAAGCCCCTAAATATCTTGGAGCACCTAGGTTCTTGAAGATTATTTATTAGAGATGCCAAACTATAATCATTTTATTTGGGTATAGTCCTAATCGCTGTTGAACTGTTAAAGAACATGTATGGTCTGTTTTGTTTTTGCCAGTAACTAAAGCAGTCTGTAGTTGACCTTGAGTAAACTATTTCACGCCCTAATTCTTAGTATTGCTATTGGATGATGCAGTATGATCTGAAGAAGTGGTTGAGAAGTGTCTCACAAAAAAAGCATGTATTATGTATCTACATTCTACAATTCCATCTGTATGATGCTGCTTGGTTCTTTTAATACAATGGACTGCTAGATAAGGTATGAATTTGAGCATTCTGATACATGTTTCTGATCAGTTTGTAATTATTCAAATAGTTGTATGGCTGACGGACAATTGGACTGCATTTTGCAATTTGGAACTATAAATTCTAGCCCGGTTCAAAAGCTAAGTATGAGCCATTAGTTTCCCTAAGCACATAAATATTTTTTCAGATGAGCCAGAATTTATAGTTCCAAATTGCAAAATGCAGTCCAATTGTCATATGGGTGGATTTTCGATCAAATCCTGCAACTTAGCATGACACTAATGTTTGGGAAACAATTCCTCCATTCCTGTAAGTTTGGAAGGCTTTCCCATCAATTTTGTCATCGTTTACTTTTCTGTTTCAGTGCACTCATTTTCTGACCGACTGTTCTGAGGTTGGGCAAAGTGTTTTTAGCCAGCACAACTACACTAAAATTGATGAACAGCTATCAAAAGTTCTCTCTCATTTTGAGCAAATCAAATCAACTGACCTGTGCCTAAAAGATGAAGTATTTAGTTATGCAATTCCTCATCATCCGAAAGACTCATCAAATGCAGACCCTAATAACTGTCCTCTATATGACATGGAATATGTTACTGGAGAAAAACCTTGGTTGTTTATGTTGAAGTACATCAAGGATGACAGATGGCGCATCTTGAAAAGAGCGCTCATGTGAGTATCAAATTTTAACTAAAATACAAAAATCTATGAATGAATGAGATTGTGTCAATTTCGTCATTTTCACCACAAGACAAGAGCGAGACAGGGTAGAGCGACAAGTAGTTCCTTATTAAATTTTCCCAGACCAAATCAAACCTAAATTACTCTCTGCGTATTTACTCTAAGTGGCCCTATTGATTGAAGAGCTAGCTAATGAGCCTCTTTTAAGATGAATTGTCCTATGTACTTAGCATACCTAGGAGTAGCAGCATCATTGTTTTTATTCATAACATCTGTACCCCAGTTGATATTAGAACAAATATTTAGAACCATCTCTCTGACATTTTAATCGTAAAATCTCAAACACTCCATGCCCTACAACAAAGAAATCAGAAAAATTTATGCATGATGCAAAAGGGTATCATTTTGTCTGCAGCCGTACTTTTTTTTTAAAATACAAAAATTCAAAGTCATTTTGAAAGCCTCATCAGTCAGCCAAAGTCAGAAAAATTTTATATCCAAATACAACGTTTTAAATCTTAGCTCATGTCATACTTATTTTGTTTTATTTCAGAAAATCAACCTACAATTTATCTTGGAATTCTCTCTTAGTTTTCTCTGTTCATTCAAAAATTTTCACAGTAAATTTCGAAGAGATACCTATTCTTGTTATTTTTCTTTTAGCTATTGTTTTTGTGTCATATTTTACTTATCTTATGCAGTCGCGCTGCGCTCTTACTTTTCTGCACTGCTTGACTTTGATACGATTTTCTAATTTTCAGGGAAAAGATATTTTTAAAATCTAAAAGGTTGTCCATCTCATTTTGTTGTGAGAGATCTAAAATGTTCGGTGCATGGCACCTTTGTGTTTTTTTAAAACTTGGGTCTCTTTCTGTATATTCTCAAATGAACTCATTCCCTACACATGACTCCCCATTAATTACTCCAATTATTTTTATTCCAGGAAAAATCTGAGTGAAAATTCACTGCAGCCTTACGGAAGGACGCCAGAGCATGGATCTCATGTATTATTTTGTGAACGGAACAGAGTTTCAAGAGGCCTAGTTTTGCAGATTCTCCCACCGCAGGCTGATGGGTAATTTTTTTTCTTGATTTCTCATTTAACGAAGGTAAATAATGTACATTATAGAACACAAGCAAGGAAGTCAAGAGACTTCGATATTATTTCATTGGTCAACCATGCTCCGAGTCCAAGAATTTCCTGCAATATTTTTCTTTACTAGGGGATTGGGCCCCTTGATTGCTCGGCGGCCCAACCCCTCGAGGCTGCCTCGCTGAGCACAAAAATGAAAAAGACCCTTTGTATGTTCGCAGTTGAAAATAAACTTACTTAATTTTTAATCAACCAAAGACTTTCTGAGAATCTTTCGGATGATTGACGGCAGTTATACATAGAACAGAGACCCTTTTCCATGCAAGATTCTGCTCAGATGTTGCAAAACCCATTTTCTCACGACTTCATTTTTGTACTTACTGCTCTGTTTGGTAGTATGGCACTACCGGTAGACACCCTAAGAGAACATCTCATCTTCAAAAAACATGGTATTTGATTTTATTTATTGCATCATTGAAAGCATAGTCTTCTCACTTTGAATTCATACTAGTAGTAAAATAGAGCAACATCTGCGAGAATCTAAATCTCTTTTCAGGCAAAAGTAGGACGAATATAAGAACTTATTAACCTACTGGATACTATCAGCCTTTGTCTTTAAAAAGGACTAAAACTCCGTAAATTTTGCAGTATGAGAAGATAGAAGCATAGCAAAGCTTTAGCGCTAGCATTTAGTCAAAAATATTCCATAGTGATCAGAGTAGCATAGCTCAGCAGAAATCTCTGCCATTATAATTCTTCCTTGTTTTCAATCATGATACTTACATTATCTGCTTCCAGGATTGAGAGTGTCAAACTTCTTGACGTAGACACAAATGCAATTAAATTTGTGCAATCAAATCAACTGTATCATGTTAACCTCATAGCAGCAAGTGTTCACTCGCAAATACTTCATTGTTGTCTTGAAAATGTAAGTTATCAAGTACACCAAATCACTTTATCTTATTTGCCCCAATCTGCATTAAAGATAGTCAAAATTGCAAGGAGCCTTCAATCAGTAAAACCTCATTGTAACAACTTTGAGATTCTTCTCAGACTTTTTCTGAAAGTCCATTCTCGTAAATATAGCCATGCTATGCAACCTACCAAACGTATAAAAGGCTGTTTCTGCAGCTTATTATGACTTAATTTGATGCAAGTATCATGGAAGTAAAGGCGATTTGTCTGTCGATCAACAAAATTAGGGTAAAAAATTTTAAAATTGTGAGATTGTATTAATATTGCGCTAGTGCACAGGAAACTTAGGCATCTGAGCCTCATGTCTTTCAACATTGCCGTAGAAAAAGTAGAATAGTGCCCTCCTAGCTAGACACTGAGGAACAGTCCAGGTGCACGGACATTGACTAAACTTGTATCGCAAAATATGGGAAAATCAGATGAATCATATGTTGGTTAAAACTGGTTCGGTGGAAATTGGAGGACTGTTGTAGTATGTAGAACAAGCACTTTGTCTCTTCAGAGGCGTTTAACATTTTCGGAACCAAAACTACACTCCAGAGGCTCAATTGTTAATGGGTATAGTCAAAACAAGTTTCTATTTTCCACATATTGACACCTAAGTAACCAAACTGCCTGTCTGCAAACTGACGATTTTACAGGACGAAAGAAAAACTGTGCGATTCTTGTAATTTTGTTTTGAGGTTCGATGTGGGATTTTTTTTTCACATTACAGCATCATTATGGCACTCTCTTGCGGCATTGGAGAAAACCTAAAAACATCAGTTGTGTATTTTAAACTGTAAAATGCGGCAAAGTTACCAACTCATTTTTCCCAAAATTGCCAGGCGGTATTGTTCGTTGGCCCTTAGTATGTAACAAACCCAGAGAATCCCTGCAACAACTGCTCAATGAGAGCTTTAATTTTTAGATAGATATTTTGTAGAATCAATATTATCTTTAGATTTACCTGATTATTTGAACCTCTTTCTTGTATCCTTTCACACATACTTTGCATGCAGATATCTCTCTGTTCTCAAAAGAACGGATAGAGGGTTTAATATTAATGCACTTAGGAACTAATTTGCAGTGCTCTTCTATCCTTTTTTTTTTTTCAGGAATCTAATCCCGCAATGTGGCCAGGTGAATTGAATAATATTTTTGCGGATGCATTACGCGGCAGTTTGTTGCGGGTCAGACTACTTGGCAAACATATCGAGGATGACATTGAAACCACATTTGTTCCAACGTATTCTGTGAGAATTCTTGCCCTGAAAACAGATGATAATGTAGTTATAGATATCAATGAGTGGATATTGAATCATGTTTTTCCAGCTTTAGTGCAATCCAAGGGCTCTTTTCAGTGCATCGATTTAAAAATCTTCGATCCATACAGGTATTGTCTGAGTGATTCAGAAGCCGAGGAAATCCTGAAAGGCGACTCAGATGACCGCCTTGCCGACTTTGATGATTATCAAATTGACACCATGAGCGTGACTAGTGAAGTAACCAACCAAAGCGTGTTCACTCATAATCGTACTTCAACTCCGGTCTCTTTTGGTCAAAGTCAAAAAATTGGGAGTCTTTCGCCACATGCTCCAGTATTCACTTGCTTTGGGACAAGCACTAAATCCAGCTCTGTAGAAACTGACAATAATGTTGATACAAAATCAGCTCCAACTGTTACAAAACCAGCTTCAGAGGTTCCAAAACCAGAACCAACCTACACAGAACCAGCCTCTGTTATTACAAAACCATCTTCTAGTGAAGACATTGATACTAGTTCAGTAGCCTCATCGATTATCAGTGAAGCCTCTGATGGAACAGTGCGATCAGTGATCTCATCTCTCTCCTCAGCTGATGTGAAAGATGTGACCTTAGCAGCCTTGCTTGACAGTGTCCCTGATGTTAGTAACATTTTAAGTCATGTTTTCTCAAAAGATAACTGCCATGATATAGATGAAGATATTCAAGATGAAGAAGCCTCTGCCCCTGCAAGTCAACATGAAACTCAAATTTCATCCCAAGTTGTCTCAGAAAGGGACAATGTAGAACGAAACTCACCAATACCTGTGGATCCTGCAGATGTTATAACAGCAAACAAAGAACAACCAGTGACCAAGCCCCATTCAGTCCAAATAGAACCAAAGGAAAGACAGACAAAAACTACTGTAAAATCCCATACTGCACCTCTCAAGTCCTCCCAACCAAGTCAGCAATCAAGCACTAGTTTTTCAAACGATCCTCTTCTCTTCTCGAGACCTCCCTCTACGGCCCCTCCAACTTCTTATCCTCCTGGATTCGGAACCACCCGACCTCAATACCATCAACCTCAATACCATCAGGGTCCTCCTCCACCCTCGATGGTACGGCCACCAATTTACGGTAGCTATCAAGGTGCCAGTATCTACATGTCTGGCCAGTATCAGAGTCCGATGTTTTATAATTATAATCAGACGGCACCTCCTCAATTCAACATGAACTACTACGCGCAGCAGCCTCGCTTTAACCCATCACCGATGATTAACCCGCAACAAGTTTTCAATCCTATGATAAACTCTGTGCAAATAAGTCAACATCCTCCAATTAGTGCAGCTCAACAATCTACCTATCAGCATCTAGCACAGCTTCCGATCGTTCCAGTGGCATCGAGTCAAAATTCACAGCCATCAAACAGTTCGGGAAGTAATGTAATAGCCAGTGAAATGACCAACACCAAAATCAACCGTAAAGCCAAAGTAATGGAGAAGGTTAAGGAAACTATCAGTTGCAAAAACTCCAACGATAGCAATAGTTCCAAAGACTCTTTAAATTCAGTTGAAAGTAAAGGGAAAGACACTCCGAATCCGAGCAGGAACTCATCCTTAGAACCCACCAAAAAACCTTCATGGTCTGTCAATGACTTAGGAAACAGCTCAAAGGATCCTTCCACTTCTACAATTTCCAAGCCTCTATCTACAATCGGTAAAGTCTCTCAATTTTTCTGTTCCATTGATTAACCTTTAGAGTTCCTCCCAGATCATGAAAGACAGACGATGATCACTTCACTTATCGATAGCCAAAGTACAGAACTACGTATCTCTGTCAATGTATGTTAGCATTTCTGCTCCTATTTTCTTTTTCTTAAAAGAAACATGCCAACTTTATAGCTCGGCATTACCAAAGAATGTTCTGAAAATATAGTAGAAAAATCAAGGGAGTTTTCGGGAAATTAGGTTTACTTGTTATTAATAGAGATACATGGTTTCGAACGTTTGCTATTGATATGTCAATAGGTTAGGCTGCATGGTAAATTAGGTAATTTTTTAAAGAGAGCTGAATTTTCACAGAAAAATCAAGTAAAAAAAATTCAGGAATTTTGAAACTTTTAAACCCTGTGCTAAATCAGAATGTCTAGTGTCAGTCTAACTGGAAAAAATTGCTATGTGTTTAGAAATTTGCCTTTATTAAGAAAAAAATGAAGAAAAAAAAGCGTTCGTAAGGTAAAATTCCATCCATTAAATTCAGCAATGTGCAATTTATATTTTGGCAGCGAAACAAGCACAGCCTAGTTCCATCTAATTTTATGTCTCAACATCCATAATTTTTCTTCTAAGCTTCACAATAATATCCTTGTAGTAGAAGAAGTGTTTGAAGATAGTGGGAAGAAGCTTTTTAGTTGAGGTATCTGTGCTTAAGCAAAGCACTACACATCATCGATGTGCAGACAATTATGTTCTGAAATGGATTTTTTCACTGATGATACTTCGATGGAAAATCGCAGAAAATTTTCCAAAAGTTGTTGTGGTTTCAACAAAAGTTAAAGCGTGGTAAATTGGATGGTCTCTGACATTATGGAAAAGTAAATAGTGGAATGAGATGAAAAAATGTATTCTTAAAAAAGCTTAAAAGCTTAAAAGTAAATTATGGAAAGAGAGAGGTATCGAGTAGCCGACTGAGATTTATCAGTGGAAATTCTCATAATTTGACAACACTGATTTGTATCCATTTTAATGTATGGCAGACAGTTTAGTGTTGGCAAAGGAGACTGTCTCACCTAGATCAAAATAATCGTTGAACGAGGCTGAAAAAAAGAAAAGTAATAAATTAAATTAAAGTGAAATTTTCAAAATTCAATCTTTCCTTGCTTATTTCTGTATCCATACGTCTTTTCAGAGGACAGCAGACCGTCCGTAAGGACATGCAGGAGAAAATAAGCAAGGAAAGTTTGAGTCTCTTATGCCTCCCCTGAAATTGAATATTTATCCTAGACTTGAACCGAGGAAAAACAGAGTTGCCAATTAAAGATAATTTTTTCCAGAAATATTATTTTTGTTATCATTTTTTAAATGATAAAAAGTTAACCCTCGTCCTTCCATAGAATATGGGATGAGTCAAAAGAATATGTGGTCAAGTCTGTGTTTAAGAATTCAAAACGAAAATTTTTCCTGCAAGCATCTTGACAAGTCGCCATAAGTTAATCTTTTTACTTGAAGTATGTCTGATTCTATCAACTTTTTCCTTCTGCCTACATCCTTTATTAACCTAAAAGAATATTCAAAGTCAAGTCATTCCCTAGATAAATTTATTCTTAATGATACCCTTTATTTTGTCTAATAGTTCCAACATTCTACATCCCTGCCTCAAAAGACTGTATTCCCAAAGACACCACGTTATCAGGGATTTTAACCTACTACATTTCTCCGCAGTCCTTTTACATCCGATTAAACAATGAGAAGTCTCAGGATGGCGATCGGTAAGTTTCTATTGCCCTAATCCTTAAAACAGCAAGCATGTGTTCCAAAAGATCCTATCCGTTTATTCCTTTTTTGCACTGCAGTTAAATTGTTCCAAATATGACACTTAGTAAAAAAAAGTATATTGGAGCCACTTTAATGAAGTCTCATTTACACAACTGATTTTTTATTTCATTATCTAATTTCACTAAAAGTATCGTCCTTAAAGTTGGCATATAATTAAATCCTACAAATGTATCCTAAGACTCTTTTGAATTTTTCAGGCTAACGCAGGAAATGGCCGACTACTATTCAGACCCAAAAAATATCATTGAGTTTATGTCAAAGGATGAAGCAAAATCTGCTCTTGGTGACTATGCTGCTTGTCTATGGTCAACAGATTGCAAGTGGTATCGTGTTGAATTACAAGATTGGAATGTGGTAAGTTTAATGTATAATTTGTAGGGCTGTGCGAATATTTGCAATTCCGACTATTCGCGCCGCGAATATTCGCTTCGTCTGTCTCGCGCACTATTCGCAAATTGCGAATAATCGCGCCGTCGCGAACAGTGAATTTTTTAACTGACATTTTCAAATATTCGCGCAATCACGAAGAATGAATTTTTAAATATTCGCGCCATCTAAAATAACGAATTTCCGAGTGGCAATCGTGAAACGTTGTGAGAACCTGCGCAAGGCTTCCGCTTCCACCCGAGACATTGCGTACGGCAGATCCTCTTTGATCTTTACCAACTTTGCCGAGTTTACGAACAGCGAGCGCGATTGCGATTGGGGAGATAAGCAAAGAGCCCAAATTAAGGATTGAAAGACACAGAAATGTCTGAAATAGAAAAAAAAAGTTCATAAGTACATTTTCATTTACACTGAAAAAAATAAAATACTAAAATGTGTCTGGTGATCCTTCGATACTAGCTTGACTGCCCGCGCTGTTAACTTCAAATCCCAGGAATGCATAAGCACCTGCAGGGCAGGGACAGTGACAGTCAAGCCAGCATCCAGGGATCTTCAAACACATTCTGAACAGCCAAGGCTACTATTGTTGTTTTCTGTGCAGGTGTATGAGCAAATGGAAAATTCTTAAAAAAATTAATCACATTTTTTTGTCGACTCTTGTAATATTCGCGAATTTTCAGACTTTAAAAGGTCATTTGAAATTATTCCCTTTACTATTCGTAGCTGTGAATAATTGACGCAACTATTCGCTATTCGCGAATAGTTGCCAAAATGATTCGCTATTCGCTTTGTTCGCAAAATTCACTATTCGCACAGCTCTAATAATTTGCCATTGCAAGGTCAGTTCAAGCTCTTAGCTCTTTAGGAAATTTTTTAGGTTTTTTCAACCCTAAGTGGCGAAGGAGCCCCGTCTTGAAAATGCCAATAATGGAACCCATTTGAAATGTTAATTTTGGCGGTCGCTGATAACGTAGCCGAGCAGAGAAAAAGCAGTTGCTCAGTTTCACTCAGCTTCAAACATCACCTCACTACATCAACTCGACCCTCTGCTTTTGATTGGTCAGATTATTTGATCAATTTCTCTCCCTTTAGAAATGTTTTTTTAAAGATTTTATTGGACTTTTTTTTTAACGACATTGTGCGTACGTCTAACTATTCTACTCAAACCCTACTATAATTCCTTCAAACTGCCCCATTAGTTTTTTTTTCTCTTTTTTTTTAAATGACTTCATTAAAAGCCTAAATACACACGGCGATTATTCACCGCGATTGAAAGACGTATGCCAATGGAGAGCCTTGATTTCGATCCATCGATGTCGATATATTGAAATCAAGGCTCTCCAGTGCCTTTTTCTCTTTCAATCGCGACGATTAATCGCCATGTGTATTTAGGCCTTAAAAATAGGAACTGATAAAAGAACCATTCATTTATTTGGACTGACTTAAACAGAAAGTAACCAATTAACATTTTGGGAAAAGTCGGTCAATCCATTAAATTAGGTTTTTCTCATAATATTCTGCAGTTTTCAAGTCTTTGATATCAAACCTTGAATTGAGAATCATAACATGTTTTGATTTCTGTGGCAGGATTCTGAGTCTGTTCGAGTTTTTTACATAGATTATGGTAATTATGAAAATGCTCACTGGACCAGTCTTCAACCTCTAACAAAGAAATTTGCCAAACCTGAAAAATTAGCCATCAAATGTGCATTAGGACGTGTAAGTAGAAATAAATATTTTCCTAAGATATTGCTGTGGTCACAATTTTGGTATTTTGAATTTTCAAATGTAAATCATCAGCATAACAATGTAGAATTGTTCTTCACACCTTTCTATGTGAGGGCACATCAGCATTAAAGCTGGACCTTAGATTTTAAAGGAGACAACAAAAATGAAATAGACTGTACAGTGACAGAGTTAATGATTAGGAGATGTACTGCCCCCCACACTTGTGTCCATATTCTCCTGTCACCATTCAAGTGATATGTCAGTTCAATGCCAGAATTTTCACTTAAGATCCTTTGGCACTCTCCTCACTTCACAGTCACATTAATTAACAGTATACATATGGCTAGATGTGGACTGTGTGATACATTAACTACCCAAGTAGTTGGCTGCAAGGTTAACCGGAGTACACAAAACATGTACATGTTTCAAAACTTTACGGATTTCCAACATCAGCCAGTCATCTTGGAGATATTGTTCGTTGAGTGAATTACAGAGGAAATTTTCTTGAAATAAATTTTGCATTGATTGATTCTAAATGTAGCTAATGTGGTGCATGTCGTTTTAAGGTAGAATCAATTCAGGGGCATTATAATAACTGCTGCCATAGCAGATTAATTGGTCTTATTTAAAACAGCATAATGCTTTGAAAAATTATGTAATAACATCCAGAATGATTATTGTTGCATGGTGTCAGCAAGCTTTTTGGCAATGAAGAAAAAAATAGTTGGAAATGGATCTTATTGTTTCAAGATCTAAGGCCGAGTGTACAAGTGATCTGTCCTAAAGAAGTCTCAAATGGGAGGAAATTTTTGCACTTCTGGATGCAATTAAAAAGAATTTCGATTTGTGGTCTCTAAATAAAGAAAATCACTTTATGCACATTGGCAACTCAGTTATTTTTTAATGATATATTTCTGATGAAATTTGTGAATGATGTACATGTATAAATGAATTAATTAATGGTTTAATGTCTGACATGATGAGTTCTTTGCTAAAAAATTACTAAGATGACCTAGTCAGGAATGAGATGGTATGGGAGATCATGGATGCCAAACAGATCATCGTGCATGACATTATGATGAAACAGCTCATTTGGTAAGGTCATGTTCAGAGAATAGCAGAAGACAGGTTGCTGAAGAAGGTCCTTGATTGGGTTCCTCCTGGGAGAAGGCGCAGAGGGCGCCCAATGAGAGGTTGGAGGGAGGGGATTGAAGCAGAAATGTTAAGGTGCTCAATGCCCTAAGGGTTGTGGTTCGACAGAGGGCAGCGGAGGTTAAGGTAGAGCGCAAGGGACTGCTATGAAGCGACCTATATGAATGTACCAAGAACATCTGAATATCATTGCCTCAAACATCATCAACGTCTCAAACGTTTCTATTACTCTTACCTGTAAATTACTTGAGTTACACAAAATTACATGAAAGTCGTTTTTAGGGACTAATAATTACATTACATTCAGCTTATCACTTAAATAAATATCCTTGCCATTTTGAGATTCGAGTAATTGACTCATAAATTACTTGAGGATGGTTGTGTTGTGATTATTTAAGTAGAATTTTCTTTCACTAGTTGACAGCATCTAAGCAGCCACAGGCTACTAGCTCTTATTATGAAAGGAAGAACTCATTTCGAGTAAATCTTTCCTTTTAGAGTAATTCTGTCTGGAGCAGCAGTAGTTAAGACCAATCAGGAAGGCAACTGCAGATAGATTTTAGATCTAATCGAATCCATGATCAGTGCAGCGCCGCTTCCTATGTCTCTATTTCCAATTTCAGAAACGTTATCAAAATGACTCCAAGGCTTAAGGTGCCGTGGTGGGCAAGCAAACTTATCACCATTTTCTCATCCTTCAGCTGTATCTTTAGTGGAGACCCAAAATTTAAAGTTCTCAGGATGACTTTTATGAAATATCTGCCGCAGCCATATGTAATATCATTTTTGTACCAAAAGTCTGCATCTTAATCGTGATTCGTGATTCTTTTTGTGTTTGCAGGTTAGACCAGTCGCATCCTCTGGATGGGAAATACCAGTTCATGATTTCATTAAATCTTTGTACCGCCCCGAATGGAATGTCTTGATTAAAGTAGAAGACACTTACAATTCTGAAATTTTGTAAGGCTTTTTCCTCCTTTTTATTCATTAATTGAGTATCTTCTTTTCAAAAAATCAATTTTTTAGACTAGTTCTTGACGGAGCTTTGACATGTTTACTGCTGACACTATTTGTGGGATTATCTCTGTCTGGTCAAAAAAACTTTCCAAAAATAATGAAATGCAAATGCCTTTAGCAATGATTGCTACCGATTGCTGTGGCGCTAGTGCTTCCTACCGTTTACTCATGTGACTAGTGCGATATTTGATGTTGCATCAACCTCTTTTTGAAATTTATTGAAGGTTTAAAACTTTAGTTTGAATGTCTTTGCAAATTGTTTTTAAAGAAGGTGAAACATTGAAGAAATTCTAAATTAAAGGTGTAAAAAATTTGTGAACCTGATTCGTGAACATTCAGTAATCGTCAGTTTTTGTAGTCCAGCTTGTTTTCATTTTTATTGCATTTATTTGACATCAGTTTGCTGGAGCTGAGGGTCATGTGGCACTTACCATGTTAAGCTTGTCATTTCATGATAAATGAACGACCATTTATGAAGGAGAGCAAAATAATTGACGTTGTTTTATGCATATTTATTCAGCTGGGTTTGTCAGATTCACCTAATCGTTTAAGTTAAGGTTTTCCTACATACTCCCGTTTGTTGCCACCTCTCCTGAATTCTTACTGTCTCTGTTCTAGTGAAACAATGATTGTTGATCTTGCCTATCCACAGCAGTACGAAAACAAAACCATTCGTGATCTCCTCATAGAAAACAACCATGCTTGCCTCGAGGAAAGCGAAGGTACCGTATTCTACAATTGTTCCTAAAGATTTTGCATAGCTTGATCTTTTGTTCTTGAAAACTATTCCATTTTTTCCGCTCAAAAGCTTTTACCCCTATTAGTTTTTCTTTGTACCCATTTTTTAATCTAATTGAGCAAACTTGAAGTATTGCTCAGTAGGAAGTCTTTTATTCGCATGAATGAAGATATTTTCTATTATTTTTATACTCACTTTAATACTATTTCTTTTCTCCTTCTTGCATTTGTAAAACTCTTTTAATCAATTGACAAAAGCAACTCTATTTTTCTTACTTATTTTTTCAAAGTAGAGTTTCCGTTCATTATCCTTTGCTTGTGCTTTATTTAATATTCCATTCACTGAGGCAATAAATCTCAATTTTTTTGGTAAACTTTATCGAGTTTTTCATTTCATAACTATGTTCTGATCACGGCTTTTTGATTGTGGTATATGTAGCAAAGTTTTCTATTATACATTGATCAATGCCTTAACTCAACCTATAAAGATTCAGCATAAAGCTAAATAAACTCGCCCATCAAAGGTTGAAATTAGAATCAATACAGTGCAAGTATGTATTTAGTAAATTTAATGTAGAAGTATTCAAATGCCTCAATTGGATTTGCAGTTTTGTTAGAGGAGAAAGCCAAGATTTTCAGCTTCAATTTTGTTGTTGTTTTGTTTATTTCCTTTTTGTTCTGCAATTTTATTTGTAAGTCAATAAGTTGGATTTTTTTTTTGGGGGGGGGGGGGGG